ACCTCATATACGACCTCAGTAACCTCGTTAATGACCTCAGTGCCCCCATACATCGGGCGTGCAGCTCAGAAACTAGAAGGGCTTAGGCCTGAAGAGGGACAGGACTGTGAACTGCATCGAACGATCTTCAAGATGGCTATTTCAGTTCAAAACCCCATACAAACGTGAAGCATTCCCTTTAAACCATAATGACACGCATCTAACAGCTTCTTAAAGCCCTTTCAACCACCTTTTTGCCATTGGTGTGGCAAGTTTAGCACTTGATAGGCATAACCAAATGGGCCAATGTAACTGCAATGCAGCAATGCAATGCAACTGCAATGCAAATGCAACAAGGTCCGCTAGTGTCTATCAAATAGTTTTCGAAGGGGTTTTTAACACGTTCTTCCACTTTGTCGTAACATGCTTGGCTCTTGAGAAAACGGGGGGGGGGGTCTATAAATTGCTAATTTGGCCCCTTTAACCTGGTTCGACCTACCCGGGGTGCATCAAAATATTATTTATAACCCCCTATCTGATGCAGGGTGACAAAGGCTTTCCAAATGTCATAACGAGAACCAGGCCAACAAAGAGCCACAAAAGTCCAAAGCCCTAAGCCTATCCCTATACTCTTAGTTGCCGATCCCATTTATCATCCTAGTTGCTTTTCACTGTACTCTTTCCAGCCAGCTGCACTTACTATATCTTTTTGGAAACACGGGGACGAAGCCTTCACAAACTACACTAGGTGCGGTCTGCCTTAAGCCAAGTGCAACTTTTTGACAACATGCTTACTTTTGTAATACACATTCCCGTTTATAGTTCCTAGCATCCGAAGTGTGCCGCTCCTAGCAGCCTCACACTGTTTTTTAGCCCTTGAATCCCTGGACGTTATTACCCCTAAGTCCTATTCCTCCTCACTTGGTTCAAGTCCCGGGCTCTCATCTTATAGTTGATGCCGTCACCGCCAGAACTACCATAAGGCATCACCTTACACTCATCACAATTTAATTGTTGAATAATTGAATTGAATGCCGTTTCCCGCGCGTCTCAAGGTTGATTAGTTTTTGAAATCTTAGGAGAACTCTGCGACCCGCTCGTAGAACGAAAATGACAAGAACAACTCTAGTGGGGCGAGGCTTGAACTGACCGCAATGGGTTTTGCCCTTCTTTCTGCTGGTTTTTGTGCATTTTAGATCTGGTGCTAAAAGAATGTTACTTTTCAGTAACGCTGTCGCATGAGTGAGTGGTTTTCATCCCTTTCGCTGCAGAGATGGAGCGGTCCTTCCTAAACTGCTCGCTCAGGTCTGGGAATAGGTGCGGAAACCGAGGAAGGGGCGGGGGGGGGGGGGGGGGGGGGGGGGTAGCAGGGGCGCTTAATCCGCAACGTTTGGACTTGGGGGTCCCAATCTGGTTGGGGCTGATCTAAGATTTTCTGGCATAAAGTCGAGCCATTTCCTTACAGTATTAGTTAAAAACAAATCAGTTGTTTTTCAACGAGGTTCAGAACCGCTTTCGCTTGCTTTCCTCTTCTTCCTTTTTATTGATCTATATGAATGTCGTCTTTTTTAGCAAAATCGAGACAGCACCGCAGTTTGGTAGAAGCTGGCTGCTTTGGGGCCCTCGTCATAATGGCACATTGCCGGCGATTAACATGTCTGCGTCGTTTTGTCTATGTTTCAGTTCATTATTCTTCATCGCCATGTTCAGCCTCAAAACTATCACCATCCCACGCACCGCGTGAAGGATGAGTATAAGCAACAACATCTGTCACTGAACCGTGACCCAGGGGCACACCCAGGGTTTTGTCGAAAGGAGACCACTCGATATACGTCAAGTCGGCAGCCCATTCAGTTCACATATTAGATCGATATTCACTACTTTGGCCTGATGTGCGCCCCACATTAGTGTTGCTGTCTCAGCTTTTGGTGCTAGTCGTGTAAGCGGTCCGTTTCAACTTACCTGACCTTAGACACGCTATGCTCCATTATTTGGTAACAAGGACTTACGGGTAGGTGAGTACCAGCTTCAGGTTTGTACCCATTACAATCAAAAGGTTACGCCATCTCCGTGTACTGATTTTCAGGTCGATAAATACCGCTGTCGAGCGATTATCGATCAGAATATGAATCTGAATCTGTTGCCTACTTAACCAACGGACCAGCATGGCGGTCGCCCCCCTCCCCCCCCCCCCAATGCTCTGGATTTAGGCCAGTAACTTTGACTCTTATTTTCGCAAATTTGTTATGCCGTGTCTTCCCGTGCT